GGTTCACTGAGTCAACAGAACAATCTGAACTGAATCTAGATGTAGATAAAAATCACATACTGGTTCAGTTTCCAGGAAGCTGTGAGTGTCTTATTTCACCTGTTGATGTAATGCAAGAAAACGGCCAGCTCGCGACCTTTTACCGAAGGTGAGTTTCAAGTTTGATAAAGATTGGGAAACATGATACACAGGAAGATGAATGAAAAATCTTTTTTATTAGAGTGCCAGTAAGAGCAGACACAGCTGCTCAGAAGTCCTCTTAGCTCTGGCCTTATTAGCACAGTATTTCTCTATAAGAGGCATGTTTCTGTGCTGAACCACTGCAGAATCTGTACTTTCACTACCCTGTGCCTTTAAATAGTTTTCCAGGTGGAGGAAGGTTTTTATTTGGTTTCTTCAGTACCGAAGTCCACTTCGGCAAGATAATAAAATTGCACTTTGCCCTTCAAGCATTTATTGATGTGATCTTGATAATAAAGGGTTAGGAAAAAAACTTACAAGTGGTATTCTCTAAAAATGAATCTTACTTCAATCTCCGTATTGAAATAAGTCAAAACACAAAGTAAAACTTAGACTTCTATTTTAAGTTGTGCATAATGAAAAATCATTTCAGATTTTGTTTCTTCTTTATGCAGGCCCATAAAAATGAGAAGACAACTTTTAGGGGCCTGCATGACATGCACAACAAATTACATTTGTAACATCCAAAAGCTTCTAAATCTCTCTCTTTGTTTATGTATTTCGGAAGTAGATTATTTTCTTTTCAAGCAAGGATATGAGTCATTATGTGCATAATTAAGGTTCGGTTTCTTTGTATGACGCTAGTTCACAACAAAAGTCATTGCAAAACACTTAACAGGACAAAGCTGCTCAAATGACTGCATGTAATGGCTACTGAGCCAAGAATGTTAGCAACGCCGACGATGAAAAACTCTGAACATGCAAACTGCAGCAATCATCTACATAAATATTTAAAAATAGAAATGAAATCACACCAAGCTAAATTATGTTGCAGTCCCAGGTGCTGCGGTGGCTCGGGTGTGAAGAACAAGCTATATGTGGAGGCCTTGGTTCTTGATGCAGCGTCACAGGTTCTGACTTGAACTGACATGACCTTTGTCTCATGTCTTCCTCCTCTCTCCTTACCCTCTTTCCTGTCTGACCACTCTCAAATAAAGGCCACCAGAGCCAACAAAACCTTTTTAAAAAAAGTCATGTTTTTTTGGGAAAAGCTACTTGTTCTGTTAAGTGACCAAGTTTACTATCATTAGCTCAGATAAATAATAGTTCTCTGTGTAGAAAAATCAAGCGCTGGCTTGTCTTTCAGCGTTACTGGCCATACCTGCCAAACAGAGTTATGAATGTTGTAAATCTATAGCTGTCAGGATGTCGTGGATGCTGCCAGAAGATTCTGGCAGTATCAAGAGGAAAACACTGAAGCTGCATTTAGAGGTTATTTCTTGTGGCGTGGGAGATACGCAGCTCTCTCTTTTCACTATTGAAACGGATCATGTCGACACAAATCCTTTGCTGGTGCTGTTTGGCGCCATAGGAGTGCACCGCTCAGTAGGTTGCCTAACTCTTCGACTCCATTAATGTCCATTCTTTTGGGGTCCTCTTTAAAATGTTATAATAAAGGAAGGGGGCGTAAAGCATGCAGTAGCTGTACTTTGACTAGCTCTGATTTTAGTGAAGTTCTCCACACCTTCGCCTCGCCAAGTTCATCCTTACTAAAAGAAATCTCCTGACTAGACAGGTGACTTTGTATCCACAGACTATAAACCTCAGTTAGATTGTTTTTCCTTGTTTGGGTTTGAAATCAAAACAGCTGCTCCCCTCCTCGGCTGTTCATGGGCCAATCAGATGACTTCAGAGTTCCTTCAGGGCTGCAGTGTGTGAAAAGAGTCCTCATTTATCACACTGACATCGGCAACAGTGTCAATTTTAAATTCAACCTGAGTTTCATCAGCCTTCAGCTACTGTTCATGATTCCCTCTTCTCATTTTTATGACACTCAAGATGTACAAGATATGAGGGTGGTTCATCTTTTGCCTCTGTAACCTAGTTTATTAATTATCTGTGTCGACACACTCTGGCCCGCTGCCCCATTTTATGACGGCTGCGACACACAGCTTTCTTTGCAGCGCAGATAACATATTATGCCGTACTTTTAACATTTCCCACATTTATCTTATTTTCCTTGCTTATGTCCGTGTAGTTTTCTTTGTTGCGATTTCAAGTGCATGCACCTCTTTTTTTTTTTTTCCTAAACAGATCCCTACTCCTAAAGTTAATGAATTCATGTGGTTGTTCCGAATGGTGTTTTCTGTGTTTAACATAATGTACGTTTTCCCCACTGATAACTAAGTAACCATACAACACTTTTTTGTATGGACATGGAACTTTACACCTTGTGACAAATGTGTGTCTGGTTATTTATTTAACTGTTTATTCAGCACTTATCCTGCAATGCCATGTTAATATGTAATGCATTTTCCCTCTCACTTAACAAATCATAGTAATGTTATTGCAGATCAGTTAATTTTTAACTGAATGCTGATTTGTAAGAGTACAATAAACTAGACTTTTCAAACAGAGGGCATCAAATGCAACATTTTATTTCTCACATTTATTATCCTTTGCCCTGTTATTGTTGTCAGTGGTGGGATGGACTTACAGGCAAAGTGTAGCAGAAAAAGATGATTCATTCAGTATCAGACTTGCATCCACTGAATATCTGCTCGTAATTCATTCAGAAAGGAGATAACATCACAAAAAGCTTTTGTGTTCTGTGCACAAAATATTCTTACGCTACAGAGAATGGAGTTGCTGGTGTCTTGTTCTTTTTCTGGTTTACTGTTAGTTTTATGCCAGATGTAACAGGATGCAACAAGATACACTTTTGTCTTGGCTGTTTAAAGAATATTTTCCCAAAAGTCTTTCTGATCATTATGAAAATCCCTCTCTGTGTTTTGCTTGGGTCCTAAAGCCTTAAAGGTTGCTTTGTTACCCTTTTCAGACTGGAAGGTATTGACTTTTTTTCTCATTTGCTTTTAAATTTCTTTAGATCACAGCATAATATATTGCTTTTTAACACCTATTGGCCAACTTTATACTGTCAGACACATTTTATTTAAATGTCTTAGCTCTACAGGTCTAGCTATAACCAACCCTAGTGTGGCAAAAGGAAATGGAATTACACAATTAAACTAAATCAATTATTTCTCAATTTAACAAAGGGGGGGGATTCATTTGTCACACAAAGCCAAGATTGCTTCGGATGGTGTTTTTCAACCTACAATTAAAATCATCCCTCAAAAGCGAAACTTGGGGTTTATAACAGAAGCCGGAAATCTGGGAAATAGCCCCTCCCATGACTGTATTCACAACACAGCCATTATTAAGCTTTCACTTTTTTTCTTTTCACAAAAAGAAAGCGAAAGAAACTTAAAGAATAAGAATGTCTCATAAAAATCATTTCAACAATGTCTGAATCAGAGATAATTTGTTAGCTGGAAATCCCCGTACTTACCCAGATCTATGCTGGGTAGAAAGGACTAGTGAAATACCCTTACATCACTTGACAGTGGAAACTTTGTGGAGTGAGGAGTGGTGAGGAGGTATTCAGACTATGCGGACGGGAATCTCCTGTTTTATTCTGTTTCTTTATTAGTGCCAGTTCTGTAATGTGGGAACGCTCTCACAGACCTCACACAAAGTTAAACATTGGAGAAACCACAACACATCCACAAACAAAACAAAAGTCTCATTTGTCAGAGCATCTTGACAGGGACCTGTAGTTTCTTATATATGAAATGATTATCTTTCTTTGTTCATTTTTGATTTATCTATTTTGAATGCATGTTTAAGTTTTTAAGTCCGCTATAAAACGCCTCTTTAACAGCTATTGAAACAATTAGCAGGTTGAGTGGAAATGTGACAAAAGATGTGTTTCTTTGATTCCACTCTAAGGAATTTCCCATGAAAGTCATGCAATCCACTGAAAGTGCTGAAGCAAAACAATCACATTTATCTCTTTATGTGTGGACATCTGTCAGAAAAATGACAGAAATAAGTGCAATTCTAGCACCAACCTGTTTTCCCTTGGGGTAAATAATCAGTTTACTAGCACATAAACTATAATGGACCCAGATACTCACACAGCAGCAGCAGCAGGTCCTGTTTGGCAGAGGCAACAGCTTGCAGAGCTGATGATCAAGCATCATGATTAAGCACCAACTGTGAAAAACTCTCCATGTGTTCGGTCCAATTCAGTCTGGCGCTGATTACACTCATCAGGACCCCTCGTGCTCCAGGGTTTGGAGGCGCACCAACTGCTGTTTGAGATCCAAATTTTCCCCAAAATTATTTGATTACTGGACATATGGGGGGAAATAAATTAGCAGAGTTTTAAAAAGGTGAGAGCTGCAGATAGCATGAGGTGTGCAAAAAAATAATGAAGAGGGTTTTTTTTTTTTTTTTGCTAGTTAGCAATTTTTTAAAAATATTTAATGTTGAGAATAGAAAAAGCAAAAGTTGTAAGTTGTGTGGTAACACCTGTACTAAGAGAGACGAAATGTGTACTCTTGAAATTAAAAGAAAATACAATGTTATGCTTACTTTCTATTGTTTAAAGGGGATATTATGTAAAATCAACTTTTTAGAGTTGTTATGATGTTATTGAAAGCATCAAAAACATACCGGGAGTGTTGCTTTGATTTTTTCATGTTTGAGAAATCCTTGAATCTCCACTAGCAACCATTCGGGAGTACCTAAACGCCACAGCAGATCATCAGATCAAATTTATTTGGCTCGCACATTTCAGCTGTTCAATGACTAAATTTATCGTAGTTGGTAACTCCAGCCTGCTTAAGGGAACATAATGCTTGACTAACTATCTAACTATTGATCAGCTTGTTAAAACTATATACGTTTATTTTTTCCTCTTCCAAAAAAAAACAAAAATATTTATAATGTTTCGTATCGGTTGCAGATTTTGCGATACCTTTTACGGCCACTGTGTGTCACTGTTTTCACCCACACTAGAAATGTGTTTCATAACAAAACGTCACATCCTCTGACCGCTGCTAAAGGTAATTCATTTAAGTTACAAATGTTCTCCTGTATTACTCTATATTTTTAAGGTATTTCAATACTTTAGTTAAATAAATACTGTTCTTAACCAATATAATCCAGCACATTACTCAGTCAATGTGCCTCCTGCAGTGTATTAGAGGTAATTTAGTGTCATCCAGCTGTTAGCTTCCAAGCTACAGTCCCACTATATTCGTATTGTGTGATAAATTAAAAACAGCGTATCAGTTTTAAGGTCGTTTCGTGTCATTAGTCGTTATTGACTCAGACCAGACATTCATGTTTGTTCATGCTATCTCCTTTGACTCGATTTGGCATTAGCCGAAGAAAACCCATTAAATCTAATCACATCAGGGTGCATGTTTTATAAATTTAAGGTTGAGTTAACCTTGAGTGACATGAATCAGCTTAGTGTAAAATAAATAAGCCATAAATTTCTTTTCTTTATTATTTTTATCACAAATTATTTATTTTTAGGAGATGTAATCACGGCAGGCTTAAAGTGTTGGTTCAGGATGAATGATAGGGGTGGTTGTTTAGCTTACAGTGAAAAATAATTGGGGCATAGCATATTTCTGTTAAAGGTTTATTGTGTAGAATGAAGATGAGGTAATGTACTAGAGAAATTGCAGAGATGGGTTGAGTCTTCTCTGGTTAAATGGAGCGTAAGAGTAAATGCTCCCCCTCCCCCACCTGATGCTCAGATCAGTAAGATGACTGAAAGAAAGCTATTCCACAGTGAATTGAGCTTACTGTCTATTCTGTCCTATTGTCACTGCTGAGAAAGACTGATTCAGATCTTTGGTCACATGTCTTGCCCAACAACACAAGGTGTGTGATGACAAGAAAACTGAAGGAAAAAAAAAAAAACACTATCACTCCTTTTAAGGAAAAGCTGATTTAAAGCTACAGTTGAAAAGCTATTTATATAACTCCTGTGCAGGTGAATGACATGAAGAATAGAAAATGAAATAAGAAAGTGATAAAAACAGTGCCAAAAAGGTAAACAACATGAACAATGAAGTCGGTGATAAAAGGCACAGAATAAACAATAACCGGTCATGCTCTCTGGAATTGAAAACCAACTTAAAAAGATGAGTTTTTAACAGAGATATGAAGTCATTTAAAGCTCTGGCAGACCACACAGAAAAATGGAGACTTTTCCAAAGCCTAGGGGCTGCAGCTGAAAAACAGAGAAAAGAAAAAAAAAAAAGAAAAATGCATATAAAAAAAACACCTGCAGTTCAACAGACATGCTGCTCAAGACTCTTAACAGGCCAACCAACTACTTTTAAATAAACAGTACTTAATTACAGAGCTGCTGAAATAATATAAGTGTATGCCACATGAACCTACCACGTTCATGTTGTAGATTGGCTGAAATTTTAGAAATGAAGTACTTTTATCTAGATTTAACATGTTGCATGTGCTATAATTATTATTAAAAAAAACAGTATTGTGTACAAAAAGTAAGATTACAGCCAACCATCAATTTTTCTCTACAACATATTGGCTCCATAATCCTTGACTTCATCGTTCTACTTCTTTTTGTCCTAAAATGCTGAAGGTTCATTAAAGATACATTTGGAAAGAGGTGAATGGTGACAATAAATGTCGATTTTCTTGTGAATAATACCAGCTCATCAAGTGATAGCCAAAGAAAATAATTCAATTTATGTTATTTCATGTTCATGTTGCACTGAATGCAGCATGACTTCAAGTAAAACAAAAGTGCAAATAAAATCAGAAAGTCTGTTTATGACTACACCTGTTTGAACCAGCTCTCATCACTGAGCTTCCTCATGTGATTGTTATTTTTATTGTCTTCTATCACAGCGTCTGAGCAGCCAGAGGACTTTGTCTCAATGTTGCGGTTGATTGCAACATCCTTGTGCCTCCGATGTCAACATGTCCCACTTTTACTTTCAAACCTCAGGGCATGTTCAACACTCGACTCTGTGGAAAACCAACAGACTGTGAAAGCTCTTTACGAGCTCTCTGTGGACATCCAGAAAGTTCGGAAACTCAAAGGATGGGTGCTACATCAAAGTCCAGCATACACTAAGGAGGTAGCCAGCCTGCTGAGAGACATGGGGGCCTCGGCCCCCATCATCGCTCACATCTTGGCTGTTCACCCTGAGGCCGTCCTCTGTAATCCGGAGCAACTGCAGGCCCAGCAGGAGCTGTGGATGTCTGTCTGTCCGAACCACAGAGAACTGATTGGTATCATTGAGAAATTCCCAGCCTCCTTCTTCTCCGCTTCCAGTCACCTAGAAAACCAGCAGAAGAACATTGCTTACTTCCAGAGTCTGAACCTTAACAAGAGGATCATTACCAAACTCATGGCCAGTGCTCCGCAGAGCTTCAGCAGGCCTGTTGAGCAGAACCAGCTGATGGTCTGCACCCTCCAACAGGCCTACACAGAACTCGGCGGCGACGAAGCCAACATGAGAATATGGCTGCAGAAGCTGCTGAGCCAGAACCCGTTTGTTCTGCTAAAGCCACCGGAGGTGCTGAGGCAGAATCTGCTGTTCCTCAAAGACAGAGGGTTCACCACCAGCGAACTCCTCCGTCTCCTCTCCAAACTGCGGGGCTTCGTCACCGAGCTGAATCCGGACAGCATGTGTCGGACCCTGGCTTTCTCCCAGGAAACCATCGGCTGCTCTGATGCAGAGCTCAGGGAGATCATCCTCAAGTGTCCGGCTCTGCTTTACCATCCAGAATCCACTCTGGCTGAGCGCTTTGAGGGCCTCCTCAGCGCTGGGATCAGTATGTCTCAAATCATACAGACTCCAACCGTCCTGGAGCTAACCACGCAGATCGTAAATTACCGTATCCACCACCTGAAGAGTCGCGGCTACGACGTTAGCACAGGTAGTCTAGACGTGATAAACGGTACCAAGAAAGACTTTGAGATGAACTTTGGGAAACTGCAGCTGCGTAGAGAGAGACCACTTTTTAACCCTGTTGCCCCTTTAAAAGGAGACGACTGAGCAGATGTCGGATTCACGAAAGCATGAATCGAAAATAATTTGTTGTAGTATATGGCCTTGATGAGTGCTTTTTCATTTGTGCCTGTATCATAATACAGTGTCTTAAATCTGATGATGTTCTTCATTTGCAGTTGGTTTTTCATGGTGGCAATCCAAAGTGCATCAGCCTTAAAATTATAAATGAAATAGTAACCTGTTGTGAATTTTCAAGTCTAAGATTGAACCTGTGTAAAGAGTGAGACTTCCGTTTTATTCACAGTCACCTAAAGGTACAACTTAATTGCTTTCAACCTGCTGCCAAAGCTCCAATATTAATGCAAAGTGAAATAAATCCAATAAAAACATCCTCAGTAGGTTCTGTGTCACTATTTATGCTATTTTTTCTTTCTTTATTTTTTTTGCTTGTTTGGGCTGTGTTTGCCATAGGGGAGATTCATATTTCAACCTGTAGTTTGGACCAGAACATTTTTTTTTGGCTGCGGTTGTTGGCACCCTTACCTTCAAGGAAAATGATTGGACCAGGGCTTTTCTGCATTTCATTAGAAGTTTACATTCATTGGACATACATTTTTGGCTTTCTCTAGGGAGAACTGATTACCCAACAAACAACTTCACTCCAATGAATTTATCAGAGTTTGAAGGAGTCAAAGTAAAATTTTATAACATCAGATCACTTCAACAACAGTTGAGGACGGAGGTGGCAGCGTCATGCTGAGGGTCAGCTTTGCCAAGAATCCAATTCGTTTAAATGAACTGTACCAAATCTGATACAAAAAAAAAAAAACACAAGTTCTCTAATATTCACCCAGATTTGTTATGTCTGCAAAAGGTTTTTGATTCCTCTTTAACCAAAATGTAGATGTATCTAAATAATTCAACCTGTGTAAGCAAAATTTACAATAAAGTCAATTGAATAGTAGTTGTGAGAAGTGATTGAAGTTGATTGTTGCCTCATTCTTCCACATTCAAAAACTAAGTCTTAAATGTGTCTTGATGTGCATAATGAGAGCATTTAAACGTCATTACATCGATCTTCTCTTTTTATATGTGCTCAGTTTAATGCTTAACAACTTTTAGCAAAACGCTCCAAACGCCGTAGCCATCGGCTCTGCAAGCTGATTTTCAGCTTACATCTGCCTCAGATTTCAAAGCTTTTGAACTTAGTCGTCATATCAATAACTGATAATATGTTGAAAGCTGGAGTATTTTTTTTTTTGCCTCACCCACCAGAAGAGGGTGATACTTTGCTGTAAGCTGCTACTGTAATTGCAGGAAATTACACTTATCTTTTGACGTAGGCATGTGGTTTTCCCAATTAAGCCTAACAGCACCGTGCTGTTATTACAGTGTAAATCTTTATTGGAAGAAATGAAGGAGAAAATGTGATGACAAAAAGACAAAACGCAGCGCCTTATTGATGTCTAACAGCTGTTTTTTTGTTTTTTTTCCCCAGTTGAGAAAAAAAATTACACAGCTCATTAAAACATCTCACCGTTACAATAACTCCTCATAAAAACTCTGCTTGACATAACAGCGTAATGACAGACGTGCTGAGATGCTGTCAAATGTATTATTGAGCACAACTGAGGCTTTTCAGCCCATTTTATTTACAGCCGGAGTCTCGTTTTTACAGGGCTCTGCAACTCTTCCCCTGAGGGAGAAAATATAGCTCAGAGTTTTATTGTTGCTCTGCAAATGGAAGGTTTTTATTATAAGCTACTAAAGTGCCACTTAGTTATCGCTTTAATGAACTCAAAACATCAACATATGATAAGAATTGGGTCAGTAGTGGTTTATTTGAATGTGCTTCCAAGCTTTAATTTAGTGCTTATTTGAACATTAACTGAATTTTAGACCTTTCATCCAAAACTGACCCTCATGTTTGACCGTATTCCTGAAAGGGTTCGCTGTCCCTAAATCTAAGATGCTTCTGAAAAGCTTTTGAGTGAGGGCTGGATGTAAAAAATGTGGGGAAAAAAAAAAAAAAAAGATGTCATACTGTGTCTTGTCTGCATCAAGAGGGCACGTTATAATGAATCTGCTGTGATGTTTGCGCCCATGCAAAGCCCTTGAAACACAAAGTGGCTTTTTAATGAGAGCGAGCTTCTCCTCTAATGAAGCCACGACTTTACGCCTCGAGGTTCCCTCGCTCTCACAGCAGGGGGGGTCATGACTGAGACAGAGGATGTGTGCCTCCAGAGTTGTGCGGTCGGACGTTAACAACTTCCCCTTCCCATCTGGTGCCTTCGGCATCACTCACTGCGACCGTGTAGTCAGGACGATAGCCAGCGGGCAGGTGATGCAACACTGAGTGCATCTGGTAATGACACCAAGCCGAGCAGATGGATGTCTGACCAGAGTTCGTTTTTCCAACCATTCACAACACGGGAAGCCTGAGGGGCAACAACATTACCACCAGTACACTGCAGCTGATGTCCTGAAGGTCTCCAGTTTTCACCTGCAGTAACTTTACCTCGCTACACTGATTGGCAATGGTTTATGCCTGCCTTCAATGCAGCGTAAGAAAAACAAGGAAGTTAATCAGGATGTGTCAAGGTGAGATGAGGCCTGAGGTATTTCTCACTTGGTGTCCTTTCCTCCTCTGTTGACAGTCAGCTCATTTCATACTAATCTATTGAATTACTCAGACAAGCCTGAGAGGTTAGTATGAGTGAATCTTTTTTTAAATTCATACAAGCCTAACTTAGTGCATTTGCAACAGAAACAGATGAATGTCTTTATGTCCTGATTTGTCCATTTACTTTGTCGGGGGGATTTCTTATTTAAAGTGTCCTTTTCAAACTGCTTACATGGGAAGAAAAAAAAAAAAAAGCTGACATTCAAACTACACACACATTTTCATTCACAAAAGCAAGATTAACGTTTTGTTGAAAGTGATTTGCATGTCAGTTCTCTCTTCCTTTAAGCTCCATCAAAGTGTTTCCATCTGTCTTAGCTCTCTCTGTAGATCAAATATCAAGCATCAGGAAGAAACTAAAAGACCCAGTTTTTGATGTTCAGTGACAACACTAAAATAGAATTTTGCATTAAACGCCATGTGAGATTCTCCAAAATATTTTTTTTTTATTATTCTGTTGCTATGACACTGACATTATCTATTCATGGCAAATTTGAGCATTTCGACAAACATTTAAGCTCTTGTTTTTGACATTCGTTGTATTTTTCTGGGTCAGGGGATCACATACTTTTTCCAATAAATTGGGCTTATTATAGAGTTCTTGAGGTAAATAAAGAGAGCATATGAGCTGTTGCAAATTGTAGACTTTTAAAGCAGAATCAGATCTTGTAAAAGCCCGAATAGCACAAAAAAAATACAAATATAAAGGTTAGTACTGCCCAGAGATAGACTGAGCCCCCTAACCTCACTTGCCAAACAGAACATCCCTCGCTGCTGGTGGTACCGCATGGAGTGAACTTCCTGTTGCGTTTCCAGGGTGAATCTGTCTCTGTACCAGGAGCCACGGCCTAATCACCAGCTCTCCTTCAAATCTGGGCGAGGTACTTTGTTTTGTGTGGCTGTAAAGATAAAGATGCATAAATTGCTTTCAGTCAGACTTATTTTTTGCTGATTACAAACAGAGCTGAGCCTTGGACAGAGCTGAGGTCCCTCTTTTTCCAAAGTTTAAACAAAAGCGATCTACCAAAAAGTCAAGAGGGAACCAAACATAATCAGGTTTTTCATAAAAACTCGGATATATTCATCAAACTGTGCTAGTGTATTTATTTATTTTTGCCTGTTTTACCGTTTTATAACAGCTTTACCTCTGCACCACAATGCAGATGAACCAAATGCATTCGTTGACATACTCCGAGACGCCATTTTGTCCACAAGTGCCGAGCAAAGCAAAGTGATTGCATCTGCAAGTCTTAATAGTCATTTTTGAATGTGCTTGTATTTAGTGCGCTCTGTGTTGAAAATATAGTGCAGATATGAAGCAGATAGGATGTGAAAAACATGCAAAAATGGAGCAAAATGCATTGCTTCCTGGAAATGTGTTGGGAAAAACAAATTTAGTGTAAATATGGATGATGGCGCTGAACTTAAAGTGTCGGATGTGTTTTCGACACGCGTAACGTGTTTGTTGAGAACGCACTTTTAGGAGCACTGGACTGAGTAGTATTTCACATGATGAGCTTCAGCAGACATGCAGTTTCATTTGACTGCTAGCTACTTGCTGCTGCCGCTAGTCTGGAGGAACTCAGTGTGGGAGGGGAGAGATGGTATAAAGCAAAATTGACTTTTAGGAGCATTACATCGTGTCATAATGCTATTCCCTCATCAAAAACACACCAGGAGTGTTGCTTTGACAACCCTCACCATCCCCTTCCTTGAGACAGTGTCTTCAGTTAGAGGCGTCTTCAAATTCACTGTAATACAGACTGCTACAAGAGATATTTCCTGCCAACAGCCGACACAAGCTACAACAACTCTGAAGAATTTGAATAAATGATTTACAACATTTAATTTGTCATTCTCATTAATAAATTATTTTTAATTGAATTTGATTAAAAACATACATATACATATTTACGAAAGAAATTGTTTTTTGTTTTTTCTTTTATACATTTATGTTTAAAATGTCGAGCAAAGTGGAACTGAGGTCAAATTCCTCAAAAACATGAATAAAGCCAATTCTGATTCCATTCTTGTATCCAAAACACTTTTTGAATTTGAGTCTTTGCCACTGGTTGCCTTTGAAATCAAAACCAGCAGTCAGATTGATCATATCAAAACAAACAACAAACTTGGAAGAACATATTGGACATCTGTCACTGCTGAACGGTAAGTTTGTTTTCTGTAGTTTGGAGCAGGAAATACCTGGGAGTAGTTTTGTGTTTGATGTTTTCATGCTAAAAAAATATGAATTGTCACGTAGCTGTACAATTACAGTTAAAACCAAAGTTGATTAAATATGACTAATCACATTGAAGGGCGTACAGGGCCTGTAATCGATTTCTCTTTATCATCTGTTTTTGAATTTGATTTTCTTTTTCGGCCAAACTGGTTGTGAAATAAAATGTGCTCACTTTTCAAAAGAAAACAAGTCTATTTATAAATTTTCTGACAACATATTGTTCTTCCTGTCTCTGATTCTGTTGCTTTGTTGTGCCTCAACCAGAGCTGGAACACAAATTGAAGCGGATGTCAAGAGCCACGAGAGCGGCTCAGTGACGAATTTACCAGAAGTGAGTCCTTTTGATTCGTTTGGACTTGAGTTCACACTGATGACGTAAACTGGTAGTTCAAGTTGGTTGAGAGAAAATACACACTTCTACAGACATCAACTCAGTGGAGGGCCAAAGCAGTTGTATCTGTAGTTTCAAAATGTACATGTTCTTTAGGAGCTCTTTACATACATCTCTGCATATTGATCTGTAGTTTTTTTTTTACTTATTTAAACACCATTTGTTAAATTGTTACATTTTCATCTCTTGCTTCAGTCTGAAGGAAATGTCCAGCTTACTATGATTTTAGTAGTGCGCAAATAGTTTTTCCTGCTGATTATCCTTTCACACAGCTAGCCTCAAGCTGGCCTTTTTTCCTCTCCTGGTTACGTTGAACAGTGGCGGATAAAATATCGAAAGTGTCTAGGTTTTATTTACTGAAATCAACTGAATGTCACCGTTGTTGTTTGAATTGACCAGATAATTCAGAAGTGTTGTGAGTTTGGCGAGTTTCACAAACTAGGTGGTTCATGACGAGGGTTGCTAGAGCAAAATGTCAAGCGTCTGCATTCAAAGGGCACACGGGTCTTCTATCCCAAGCAAATGTGCACTTTCTGTCCTCTCCGATGGCACCATCTAGTGGCTAAAAAGACCAACTACTACGCGAATGTAAGGGAACGTTTTATTCACACGGAATTATTCACGTCGACATGTTGTAAATAGATTTTTAATTAAAAGCATAACAACTGTTTGTGTCTGAAGAAACGATCTCAAAGAGGAATACACTGAGTGAAATAATAATAATAATAATAATAATAATAATAATAATAAGCACTAAAACATGTTCTATTCAAAATAAATTACAAATTGCAACATTTGCCCACATCTGTTTAAATCACATTTAACACAAGTTGAATTATGTGTGTAACTCTCCAAAGTGTCAATCAGTTAAGGGAAAAGACCTGCAGAGTGACACACATTTCCATCGTTGGTGCGGAGGATTTTAAGGGAGGACAATACAAGGACCTAAAGAGTTAAAAGTTGACAGCTCTGGCCAAGAGGATGAACTTTTTAATACCAGAGTCTATCCAAACAAGAAGACTACAAATCTATGGAAAAATGGTTTTATTCAATTGTAAAATACTGATTGATTCCATAGGCAAATTAAGTGTTGTAACTCATTTCATTAATTAATTGTATGTACTTTATGCAGTATTAAAATACAGTATTAAATTGCACAAATTTACTGTGCAGTGTGTGATGAAAGTTATCTTCTTTTCAATTCAGTGTATATTATTTGCTGTCTTAAAACTCCACAGTTTGGTCAGGACATGATTCACCAAGGAGTGTAAAGATAAGTTTGTTAAAAACATTTTCGGCTTCTATTTTTGTAATTATTTCAATTGTTTTTCCATCTACATGGTATCATCCGTCTTCTTCTTGAAAACTTGGCATTTGAACCTGATCCCATTCTCCTCTTGAATTTCAATCGGCACATCTGGAAATCTTAGTTGGAAACAAAAGAAAAACAAGTAAGTCAGGGACAAAAATTAATACACACACACACACACATATATATATATATATATATATATATATATATTTACATATTGTAAAAACTTAAAAAGAAGACCTGTATGAAAACATAAAACATTAAATGCAGATTACGATCCTTGTACAAGGTTGTGAAAACGTTCCAGAGTAAATATAAAAAGAGGATTTTAAATGATCATTGTTTTTAGGAGAGTTGTCCAAGCCAACCTGACCATAATTGAAAATTTATCCATGACCCATCCAACTGCCAAAGTCCATTTCTGAATGGGTAAAAAACACAAAATGAATGTTTCTGAAGTGGTCTAGAAACAGATCCTGTTTGGGTTGCGGAGGGTCGATATTAAAAAGACCTTCCATGCTTGAAACTCTGAAATAGGACTATTCTTTAAAGGGGAGTAACCCAGCATGATACCAAAGCAATGTAAAGGACTTAGAGTCAGTTATAAAAAGCATTTAATGGCAGTTGTTGCTGCTAATCAGATATTAGACAATACAAGTTATTAGATTTAGAGGGCACCTTTTCAAATTTGACCAGGTTGGTTTAGATGTGTTGTGATGAACATTTGTTTGATAATCTGAAACCTCTCAGTGTGTCACAAAATCAAAAACAAAACACAACTGTTAGGGAGCTAATTAATTTTCACAGAATTAAGTTTATGATTTGAATTTAGTGATAATTTACTATTTCTTAACACAGGAACAAAATCTAACTTTGATGGACACATTGTTACTAATTTGCAATTCAGATTTCTTCTATTCATAGCGGCAAAGCTCTGGTTTGGGTCAGCAAACCCTTTTAAGCTTCACTGACAATATTGCTGACTCTTGCTTTCCATTTCTCTGCCACGGGACAAATAGCTCTGTCACTAAACAGCTTAAAAGCAGGCAGGTTTCAAATGCATCGCTCCAGTTTTCAGAAAAGAAAAACAGATGCTCATCAGTTTCAGAATGAGACGAAAACTTACGTTTCCTGTAATTTAAATAATTCTCTGTCAAAATCAGGAAAGAACACATCACAGTCAAAGTCGGCCATGACATCGGTCAGGTAAAGAAGGTCACACCACGGGTGCTTCAATGCATCCTGGTAGGGCAGAGCAGACCGCAGAAAATACACTTACACTTCAAATATTAATCCGAAATACATCATTGAGACTTCGGATTATTAGCTCTGAAATGGTTCAAATTACTTAAACTAATATTTAATATAAGTCCACACCTTGTTGATTTAAAAAACCATTGCAAAACACACAAACTTTAGGGATGGATAGATGGAAAACAAAAATTATGGTCTGTTTATGTACCTTGCTGCTCTGAGAGTAAGCTTCAATTTTACCCTAAACAAAAGAATAATGCACTTGTTGTTCTGCCTGTCTGCTAATGTTCTGCTAAGTCCATTCTCTAAATCACAGTTTCTGTCTTTATTCTAGTTGATTAGAAAAGGAATTCTGGCAAAGCCGGGATTTATACGCAACCGGATAAATAATTCAACCATTTACAACAAGAGGGAATTTCTAACAATAGGAGGCCAAAAAAGGGAGAAAGGAAAGTCAGATAAGCACATTGTTAAAAAAAATTAAGCTTAACACGTGCCTAATTTTCACTACTTGCTAAAACATCAGCAATGCAACTCAAGTATCTTCTAAAACCAACAGGAAAAGCCTCATGCAAGTTAATTATTGTAATTAAACCCTTTTCAATCAATTCCTTTTTGCTTAGAACTATGCTAGGACATTGCAAATGTGCAAATGCTAAACACTTAAGCGCTACAAGGTGTAGGTGCATCATTCTGCCACTAGATGGTACCACATATTATTCGAAGTATTTTATTTGCACTGTATTTAGCATATTGTCGATCATAATTCGGAGAACTACCACAGTTCACTATACTAACATCAACATGATGAAACTTTGAGGCCATTCTGGAGACATCACTGAGTTGCTATACTGAAAACAGAAGAAAATTTGTGTTGTTTATTTCTATTATATGTTATTTTATTTTAATCTTCAATTTTCCAACCTTGTTTCAAATATAAATATAAAACTTTACTGAAACTAACTATACTTAGGTGCAGTTGTGTTGATTCTGAGCCCGTTTGAATAAAAAAATATACCAAATTATGTTAAAGTATCTTAAAAATGTTCTGTTGTTAAAATATGGACCAGGTTGATTCACCTCATAGACCTGCGTCCCACCAAGAATCCAGACGGTCTCTATTATGCCAGACAGGGGGGGCTGAGCAGCCAGGCGGACAGCGCTCTCAAAGTCTTGACACAAGAAGTGGGCATGATCTGGGACAGAGCTGTGAGAAAAATGAATTCACAGAAATAAGGAAAAGAAGAAAAAAAAAATGAGTAACCTGTTTATGAAAATCAGGAGTTTTTGCTAAAGCTCATATATCTACATATAAATGTAGGATTTTGTGGAACAATACCCACCTCAATGTTTTACTGAGCACTACATGCAGCGAATTGGCCAGTGGAAATATATTTTCGGGATGGGAATTCCAGCAGAGTCGCCCCCAAATCAGCAAATTCATTTTACCTGCAGAATAACAGAATATGACCTAAAAATGTGCTCAAGCTGGAGCCTTAAAACAGTTTTCTTGAAGTAACGTTGAGCACTACCTGGTCGCGACACTCTTGTGATGGTGTTCAAAAAGTACTGGAATTCAGATCTGTGGATATCATAGTTTCCACATTTAGTCCAGAAACATTTAGTTTTTGCTCACTGATTCCACATACTGATGTTTTTGCACATGCAGAAAATATGGTGGAAAAGGAAACATTAGCAGCTCCACTTCCATCCCACACAGGACACCAGTTTAACAGCTGTACAGGGTTGCTCATAACATACTCTATGTGATGCAAATTAAAGTACAATATGTTAACATCAGCGTGCACACTGATAATTCTTAGAGAGCTTTGAAGCCAATCTACTATCTGTGAGTGACTGTACAGTTCTTTTTTAATTATCCACAATTTTCTACCATTTCTTTAATTTTACTGCTATTCTAAAGTTCATTGATCAGTCTATAACTTATTCATTGGCTGTGTGAAGGTGATTAATACCAAAGCGACTTCACCACAGAGCTTAACTAATGCCACACTCGTGAGTAGGGTTAGGGTTAAATATCAGATTACTGCATTTCCTTTGGTGAAATTTTGGAATACTGTTAAAAAAAAATATAAAGGATAATTCTGGTAAAATTAATTAAACCTCAACAAATGAACAAAGGAATTTTTAAGTAACTTTTACGCTTCGATAAAACTCCTACTGATGATTATTAAAACAATACATGCCTTTTTACGTAGAAAAACAGTAAGAGCATCGTTTTCGTCATTTTTATTCTACAGCATTAAAAAGTCAAAAGTCGAGCAGCCTTGAGTACATAGCACAATATGTATGCAGCTGTGTTATGCTGCTATTCTTACGGTAAACTCCAGGGCAGCGTCCCGTCTTTCCCCATCCCCATGTTGTTACATGTCGCCGCTATGAGGCGAACGGGTTTCTTCTGCACTTTTTCCCGATCCTTCTCCATCTCCAGCAACAGGCGGTGTAGAAAATCTCAACCAGGAAGCAGCGCAGGTTGGCGGTCTGCAACATGAAGCTGCATGTGTGGTGAGCGAACATTTTATTGAATTTGCACTGAGCTGTCCCCGCCCACCGACCGGCTGCTGCCATTGGACACGGTGCAGCTTTTCCTCGTTTTTTTTTTTTTTTTTTTTTGTCACAAAACCGTGACCGAGTGAGTCGCTGGCAAAGATTACATAAGAATGATCAAATGTGATGTATCTTAATGTAGTGCTTCCAAAGATTAGAGTTGTGATATGTATTTGAAGCGCAAGTCGTAATCAAACAATTTTGCAATGTTTGCCTATTCACGCAATTGGGACAACGTGCATAGCAGCAGTTTGGTTTAGACCTGGTTGATAAAAATGACTTGAAAATGAAAATGACTTGCATGTGGTTTTCCTTATGTGATGGTTTCTGTTTTGACTGAAGCCGAGAGAGAGAGAGAAAAAAAAAACACTTGCACATAAAGCGGCCTATTCCTTTAACTCTCTCTGATTTCTCTCTCATATTTGAACAAGAAAAAAATTGAACACAGAGGTTTTCTGTCATTTAGCTTACAGTTATTACCATGATCGACATAAATGTGGCATTTCGCAGCTGCTTTGGCCAAATGATGAGCTTTTCTCGAAGTACCAACTGGTTTAGTGTAAAATGACAACAGCAACAAAAATGAAGCACCGCATGTTTGTTGAGTGTGGTGAGCGTACATGGTGCTGCAGGGTTATTTCTTATCTAAAGGTCTTGGGAAATTTGCTAAAGTGCACGGGTGGATCCTTTGACACCCAAAAAATTTGGAATGACAATGAAGTTCACTTTACCAGTAAACATAAAATACAGCCCTCAGTAAAATTTCTGGCTTATGTAGAGAAAGAAATGTGCAGTCAAAGATCCTTTTGTGCATGTTCCAACTTCGTTAAAATGGCATAGGATAAGTCTGAATGCTGAACACGGACATGCCCATAGTATTGCCAATAATTTTATTAATTTATTTGTTTTTTTTAGGGGGGGGGAGGAGGGGGAATTGAATAAATGTACTGTACTGCAAAGTTGGATTTTTCTAGTTTTCAGTGTGCGATAATGCTACTGCATGAAAAAAAAAAAAAAAAGTCTTGTTAGGATTTCTACACATCGGTACCATGAATGCCAATTAAGGTCTTTTCATCTTTACTACTCAAACATTTAGAGGCATGTCAGTTTGTTTGTTGGCATTGTGTTCAATACAGAATGGACTAAAGATTGGGCATTATTTATAAGATTGGTACAGTATTTTTAGGTCCCTATTCTCCAGTGATGTTCTTCAAGAGCCAGAGTCCTGCAACTTTTAGATATGTTAATTCTCGTGATCTTTTCTTGAAAAAGGAAAACTTATAAAAACAAAAAGTGAAAAACTTTTCTACATGAAAAAATGTCTAAATTTTCATGCAATTAATTCTCGGATTATAAAATGAGTTAAAGAAACTGAAATCAGGATTTTGGAATGTTAAATGATTTATTTAAAATTATTCTTTACTGTATACTTTTTGGGTATGCTTCCAGTAGAATTGCATACTCTTCAATGGAGCTCCAATCTGACCAGTTGCTGCAGGAAATGCAGACGTGTTTGAATGACTTCAGCTGCATTTCATTTTGCTAGAAGGCCTGACTTGCTGTTTTATGGAGTATTTTCAATTCTAAAATGCCACCAACAACCATTGCATTTAAATATCAGGTTACTGCATTTCCTTTGGTGAACAGAAAAATGGAAGTTTTATCTCACAAAATCCAAATGCAAAACTTTATCATTTTTTGTCTTTTATTGTCATGTCAAAACATTCAGAAAATTGCCGTTATTTATACAAAACACATTTATGATCACTTAGGTGACAAAAGAATATATATTTAAATTATAATCTTTACATTTCAGTACCTTTGTTCATAGACCACAGCCAAATATACAAAAACAGAAAATCAGTTCCAAATATTTACAAAATGATTAATATTGACTGGCTTCTACTAAGACTCTTAGCTTAGAAAACAAATCTCAACTTTTGTGGAATGAAAACTCCAAATTGTTCATTGTTGTGCTGAAACAACAGGCATTTTATTTGTGTATATGAATTTAAGAAAATGCTTTACTCTTCCATCAAAATGCTAAATGATGTGAGGAAATATTATTGTTTAGCAGGTTCATCATGCTCGCAGTTACACACTGCAGTGGAAGACAACAGGCTGCTTCATGTCATTTTTGCATGGTTTGGTCTGATATATTACAGTTTTATGACTTTGTACCTGAGAGGTAAACCAGCTCCCATCCTGCGACTAACACATGTTAACAGGCAATATCTGAAATGCTAGCAACTCATAATTTATTTAATGTCTACAACTTCCTGCATAAAAGAAATACTGAATGGTACCAGCAGATTAACGGTCTCATCTCCATCGTCATTAGGCGGGAGTTAGTTGTTGCTACTGGAGGACATGGAACAGAAACCATGTGACGGATTATTAATATCCATTATTAATATCCAAGCTATTTGCTGTGCTTCCAGGATTTGAAGCTGCATTCAGGTTCCGCCTCTTCATGACGCCGTTTCTGCGAGGACTGTCTCCTTCCAACTATCAAATATGACACAGGAGAGACATTGACAAGATTTCAGACACATTAGCAAGCAGCTTTCATTGATGAGTGACAAAAAATGCTGTTACAGCCTATTATAGTGCTGAGGATATATTACATGTTCTCCTCAGAGTATTAGTGATGCTCCATAATAATTCATTGTATTCCTCTTCCACTTGTAAACAACTTAGAGCAGCTCTGCAGGCCACATTTCAGACGCTGGGTATCACGCTCAAGTCTCATGAGAAGCAATTTTAATCTTGAATAACATGATTCATTCTTCTGTAAAAATCTTAGCGTACTGAGAATAATGCGCAACTTAATTGTATTCTTAAAGTTGCCGTACCTGTTTGAGATGTTCCCTCCTGCACCAGGGGGCTTTCAAAGGACCCTGCAGCAGAGTAAGCGTTGACTCCTCCAATGTTGCTACCATTTACGCCATTGTTGGGATTTGCTGGAACAGTTGCAAGTAGCCCTGAAACATAAGCAGCATTTCATGCTTATTCATTGTGTACCTCTAGATTAAAATTGGTATCCTCCTACATGGGATTAAATTGTTCGATCATGCTGCCATCTGATATGCACAGAGACCTGGATACAAGACTTCAGCAATTACTCACATTAAGTATAAAAACAGTGGTAAAGTGAACAACGTGTTTATGTGTTTCATGCTTTACTACCAGCAGTAAAACAAATTTCCCTTCAGAATAATGATAGTTTGCCTTGGAAAAGTATTCATGGCCCTTGAACTATTTCACATTTGTCACAGTACAACCAGAAAATCAAATGTACTTTACAGCAGTTTTATGAGTGAGAGTAACACAACGTCGAGTACAACTAAAGTGTAAGACAAAAGGATGCATAATTTTCAATTAAGGTTTGCCACAAGCCACACTGGTGACACAGCAAACGCGTTTATGAAGCCGCTTCACTCATATGAGACCAAAAAGCAACCATTTGAAATGCTACTGATGGAGAAAAACTGAAGTTGCATTGCTTAACGGTTTTGAACATAATGTCATGCAACCATTTTATTTACAGAGATTGTTACTTTGCATTTACACTGTAGGTTCTAAAAACCAAGCCATTTACACAGACGATGTTCCCTGACACTGACCCGCTCTGCCTTCTGCAGGACTGTGGCGGCTATCTGGGAAAACAGATTTCTGCCCACGGCAACATCAAGAGTCCAAACACACTGATGTCAAATATAAATGGCATTGATGTCTAAATGGTCTCACAGTGGTTACAATTAAATGCTAAGTAGTGGCAACTTAGCTTTCCTGGTAACACTTTATTTGAAGGGGTGTGCATAAGACTGACATGACACCTGTCATGAACATGAACGAGTCTTTATGAATGTTTATGACAGTTGTCATGAAGTGTCATTCGGTAAATAATGACAATTTTAATGCAAAGTTGCTCTAAAAGTTGCATTGAAAGTCCATTAAAAGTGCCAACTTTGCATGATTTTGTAAATTATGATAATTCAATGCAAAGTTGGCATTTTTAATGGACTTTCAATGCAACTTTTAGAGCAACTTTGCATTAAGTGTCATTATTTACCGAATGACACTTCATGACAACTGTCATAAACATTCATAAAGACTTCTTCATGTTCATGACAGGTGTCATGTCAGTCTTATGCACACCCCTTCAAATAAAGTGTTACCGCTTTCCTGATAAAGTGAGTTAAATGGGTGAGTAGTAAAGTGACAAAAAGTAAATAGAGGTTATATTTTGAAAGGGGCTGTACTTATAAACTTACTTATTTTCCTCCCCATAAATATTTTGTTTGTTTTATCTGTATGAAAACTTACAACTTTCGTAAGAGAGGAGAACACAGCAGCAGATTGTACTGTGAGAAATGTTAGAAGAATACAGCTACACCTTAAAAGTAGTAGAACAGAAGAAGTTGTCAATGAGTGGGAACATGTCTGGACCTGTTTTACTGCTCTAGAGTTTGGGTCAGAGGAAAGAAACAAGATCTACTAGGTTATGTGACGATGTGACTTAGTGTCTAAGACAGACTGACTGCTTGTGTCAGTCTTTTTTCACGGTCGATGTAGGAATAAATTGAAGATCTGTCTCATTCTTTTTTCTAGATTTAAGTGGTTCTTACAGCTGCCTTCAACTTTGCCATTCATTACATCTAATATTAATCTACAGTGTGCTTGAAGATTTAACAATCATTAAGCTCTAGTCTTTACCCAGTCCTTTGTAGCAGGAGAGCTGCTGGTAAATCTGCTTCATCCTCTCGATGTTGACGCGGCTGGCCTCAGCGTGGTTCACCATGGGTCTGGGGTAGTCGGTTCCTATGATACACTTGGCTGCCTTCTGCACATCCTCCGGGGCATTCCAAGGGTCATAGATGTATTTTGCAGGAAAACCCCTCAATACAGGCAAGTAACGACTGAAAAAAGAAAAAGGAAGATGTGCAAAATGAAACACAGGGACAAAGCACCC